TAATAATGTTTCTGCAATTAAAATTGAATGTATATTTTACTTGATTGTTAATTTTTTGCAATTTTTAAAATTCTTATGTTACCTCTGAGGAATGGATTTTCATAATATTACCGCATTCGTTACAATATTCTCTGTCAACCAAATCATCTTGGTCATCACCGGGTACGAAAATTTTACATTCCAAACACCAATATTGTGTGGAGTAATAGTAGTCTTGTCCCATGATTGCTCGCAAGGCACTGTCGACAGCCAGATCATATCACTTTGCCGGTAGTCATTAAGTAGTGATGACAAATGTAAATGGAATAGAGAGGTTTAAAATGTATATTTCCGCTTTTTTAATGCGTATGACATTGTTTACCGTCCAGAAAATCCAATTAAAATATTTTGAAAAATGAATACGATAATAAAACGAAGCAATACCTCAAACAATTTACAAAATACAATCAGTCTTTGTAAACATTGCTAAATTGTAGTCGGTGATTGACAAAATCAAATGATAAACATTTCAAAGTAGAAATTCTTTAAAAAATATATAGAAAAATGCTGTGAAATCAAAATAGTGATTATTTCGAATGGAAATAATATATTTGGACCTCTAATTTTGCTGAATATAATGGCATCGATTAAATTTTGTTTATAAGAATCAAAGATTTACATAAATATTAATGTTCAATATGAAAAAAATAACGAAAAACAGGCACAAACTATTCAATGTTTATATTGAATTCAATACGATTAAAATATTTGATACATTGTAATGTGTTCGCCCAACTCTGTAACTTGCTTCGTTTGCATCAATCATATATGAATGCATTACATAGACATGTTCAGACAGTAAACTGGATCTGAATATGTTAAAAAATGAGACACTATGACAAATGTAAAATGCATGAACGATGCAGATGATTACAAAACAATTGAATGTTAAAGATTGTCACCGATATAATTTACAATGTTGTCTTGCATACTGAAATGTAAGTGCGTTGATGCTGATTTTGTAAATGTGTGAAATGAATAGCAGGTACGCTTCTCTTTCATGTTGCACGACACAAAATGCGAGGGTGATAAGACGGTTGCTGTCGGCGAAAATAAACGTTTGAATTGAAATCGAAGCGCATCACTGGCACTACGTCACAGTAAATACATTGAATACTTGATACAAATTCACCCTGACGAACGCACCATGAATAACAATAAACATTATAATAGACACGTTTATAAATTTGCATCGCCCCTCTTGCCATTGAATTAAATAACAGTCATCGGCAATTGGTTTTCCCCATTCATGAAATCTGTATGCGGTTTTTTGGCTTAATTCAATGACGATTATATTCATTCAAATAATGTGCTAACAAAATGCCACAATCAAAAATGAACCAGAAGTCAATTTCTGGTTTAACTTTAATGGACTTTTAATTTGTTGGAGAGTTAATTTAAATGATTTATTTAACTGGAAACGGAACACGAAAGTGATGGGCCAAACGTTTCATCAAATGATTATTTTCGTTTTGTTATTGGAACTCGGTTCACAAGGCTGGAGCTTCTTGTTTTAAAATTGAACGAACAAATGTGTATGTGTTTAACAAAGAGATTCCGTTCAGAATATCAACCGCTCAGAAGGATAAGACACGAATAGATGTTTTTCAAGAGCATCTCCGCTCATGCTCGAACATTTTTTCACACAGAACCAAACTGTTGTCTATTTTATCAAAAGTGTTGATCGAGAGTTCTTTTACGGTTATAAAATGAAGCATCATTTACCGGCTTCTAGGGTGTGTATGTGTGCCTTTTTTGCTTAAATCGATTGCATAGTGAAAATGTGTTTCATATATTATAAATGAATCTGCTCTATCTCATTCCATGTGAAAATCAGAATTTTTTTTAATTAACTGAATTCATTTTAAAATACTTTTAATCAGAAACCGTACATTTTCATTCATTATTTATTTTAATTGGTGTTCTTTTTGCTGTTGTGTTGTGATGAATAACAAAAAAGAATGTTTCCGAGCAAATATTTGGCATAATCATCGGTCTGATGCATCTCCATAAACAATTGAAAACTAAACAAATATGCTTTTGACTCATTTGCATAACATGCTACCGTTACAATGTACACGCGCACTACGGCACATCAAATTGAGGATATACACACAATTTCCGCATGGGAAAAACGGTACTTTATTTCGAAAATATTAAAATTACAAACTAATTTGCATTTTAATTTGTTGTAAACATGAGCCAAAAATCGCATATTTTGTGGAAGCGACCTGTTTAAACAAAATCAAGCGTGATGGTCATCATCGTGTTTCGGACACTAGCTTATCTTATTTGATACAAAAGATATTTATACATAAACCGATTTTAGCAAATGGCTTAAAACTATTTTACTACTAAAATCACGTTTTATGAATATGCTTCAGTTTCTCATTCAAAAATCTTCAAGACTATATGGAAAGTTGTTAATAAAAATATATATTCGATGCTTCATATATTTAGTTTATTTTCGAGATGGCGCCTTTTATCTCAAAATGAACATGTTCCTGTTCAGAGAGTTCACAAACAACTTGCCCTATTGCAACAATAGATAACCTACTGTCTGTTTGAATAATATTACAATAACATTTCATTTTTTTTTTCTCTTTTACAAGCACAGTTTTCTTTCTTCTATTATTTTCTTGGTTAGTTTAAATCCGATGTGCTATCAAAATATTAAATCTGGATTAAACCCTCTTGTGACTGAAACAATATTTTTGCCATTTGTGGAAAAACTATTTTTCAGATATCGATGTGAAGTGCGGAGAACACAATAATTCAGTTATGTTCTAGTTAAAGAAATGATTTTTTTTTGCTGTATAAATGTTGCCTCAACTACAGTATCGTATAGCACAGTGAAAAATAGTAACACTAGATCAATTTCTAGTTCATGTTCTTTGGAACATTGATTAAGTAGCAATACAGACGACAAAAGTGAGATGTAACCACTTTATCATTCGTGGCACGTAAAGTCTGCTTCAACGCTGTCTATTCGGTACTTCAATGATTTCTCTGTACTTGCCCTTTGGCTTTTCACTTTTTCACCATCTACTGCATGAAATGTTAAACCACATTCGAAATGATTCGTGTAATTTGTGCTGGTGGAAAATTGTGACGCCTTAGTTTACAATTGAGTAGCTGAGAATGAAAATGTTTTACGGAATCTGACCTTCTGCCATCGCTCATTTGAAAATTTTAGCTGGCGTAAACAGGTGACCATTTCCATTCTCAGCCATACAATTTATGACACTAAAGTAACTATGCACATTGAGTTGCGAGAGTAATAATCAGTAGATAGATTGTACAAATAGTCAGACAAGTATTCGAAAACGTTAATTTGATATATTATGAGAAACAGTCATAATTTGATTTAGAAGATGATGGTGATTCAAAGACAACTTTTTGATGATTCAATCGCACAAAAAATTGCATCTTCATTTGGAAGAAGTGGAAATTAAAACGTACACTATTTTGACAAACAAAAATTAAAAGTAAAGGAGTTTTCATTGCAAATGGTTTATTTTCATAAATTTTCTCAAAATTCCATTCGAAACGGAAAAACGTGAAAAAAAACACTTATGATTAAACTTGCTGCCACGAACCACTTTAATTTAATGTTGTCTTCCTTCTTCATGTTGGTTTATGTTGTTGGAGCGTCTTCTTCCTAATATAATTGAAGTAATATTCAAAATAGTATTAATATAATTGGACATTACAAAATAAGTATTATTTTTATAATATTTATTGTTTTTTTTTTTATTTGAATTTTTATAATGAAGAATGATCGGCATGAATAAAATAATTTTATTAAAATTAAATAACTCACCAACACTAGTTCACGTTCCATTTCATTTCCACATAATTGGCATTCCATCTTATTCAAATTGTATACCAATGTGTGAACGTTTCTACAATGTTTACATTTGAATTTTATCATAAAGTTCATTTTGAAGTGATATGTGAACCGAACGCTGATAAAATTTGAATTTTAATTTTTCAAACGAAGTCTATAGAGTATAGACTGATATAGATGTCACTTCTTTAAATTTGCCGATAATCCAATATTCAAAAAGTGAATGAATACAATGAGTAACGAGTTGTTAGTTTTTGTTCTGGAGCCTTAACTTCATGATAAATGTAACATTTATTGACGAAAAATATTTTGTATACAATGAAGTGATTATTGAATTAAAACGAAACAGTTTCGACAAACACTGCACATTTGCGAGATAACAAATTGTTATTAACAATCAAATATATTTTTTACAAAATTGTACAGAGAAAAGCAAACAAAAATTAATCAAAACATTTATACATAAATAATGACTTTCACAAATCAGAGTCATCAAATATCAAATTTTGACATGAGCAATATCTTTCCAGGATCATTATTCCTTGAAAAAATATGGTTTGAAATAGCCATCAATGGCTAAAGTAAATGATTCATTGTGATGAAAAATCTCAATATATGTATTTATTTTGTAAAACTGATTTTTTTGCCGTTAAAATTATAAAAATGACGTTTTTAATCATATCTATCACAGTATTAAGATAAAGAATTATTATTAATTATTAAGAGAAAGAGATTATTGTAATTATTGTGGTGCTAAAGAATTCTTTTCAGAAAGTGTAATTTAATTGACAATAAAAAGATTCATTATTAAACAATGATGGACAATCTCATCAAAATCGTTCTAGTTAAACATTTTTGTGAAATATCACTGTAATAATCAAGTGATTACCCACAATGAAAATTATTAAGATAATTTCCTTAAACAACATTGTATAATGTGTATCTCACACAATCAAACGCATGATGCGTTACGCATCCTCAATTTTAAAAAATAAAATCGTTCTAAATTTATTTTCTTCGTATGTTTTAACAACAAATATAATAACAAATAAACAATTTATCTACGATAAAAAAGCATTTTCATATATATAAAAAAAGGTTGTATAAAATGACAAGAAAACTTGTCCATTCAATGCAAAAATATAAAAAACGAAACATTTGCAACGTAAAATGAATTGTTTAGTTGCTATTCGTCAATTCGGTATGTTTCAGCGATATTGCTTTTTAAATATATCATATCTATATGTACAATTTTATAGTTTTGGTTTGGTTTTCGACTGTGGACAAATGTGATTGTCGGGTAAATTCACATTATGCCAAATAGCAAAGTTTTGCAACGATTTTAATTCGAGTCTGTGCAGATTTTTCGCTGTTTCTCGACATTCGTCACATGTTTTATCTGCATATTGTTCCAAATTATGTTCCGTAGCTTCTAAATTGGGATTCTTTGGATAGAAATCGTCACCAGGATAGCAATGAATGATACCGTCTTTTGTGTGATAGTGCATTGGAAATATTAACGTTGTGGGCGCATTCATGCCTCGTTCCTTGGCAAACGGTATAACTTTATCAATGTCCGGTTCGTTGTTCAAACGAGACGATTCATACATTTGAGGCGGTGGCAACCAATTTTCACCAGATTTATTGCTGTCGAGAAGTTCCTTTGGTGTTAACCACTGCAATTGAACATAATACATTTGATTAAATAAATACAAACACATATTTTTTTTAAAAGGCAGTAATTTACCAACGATCGCTGCACCTCGTCATTTGTCACTTGAATATTGGGTTGATCAGTAACACCGACCACGTAGAAAACCGTTTCAAATCTACAAGAACAAAATTTTTGCATTAAGGATACACAGAAAACCAAAAATGAAAAACCAAAAATGAAAGTTCAAAAAATTAAAAAAAATGGAAAAAATACGGGAGAACAAAATTGGACAGGCCTATTCAGCACAGAATTATAGATTAAGAATGCTGACTTTTAGTTTCTTTCTCGTATTTTATATTGCAAAATACAATAATGGGCCATTATTAATGGCCTATTGTCATCTGTGTTTTTTTTACAATTACCGTTTCTGTCTTTTAAACGTTGGTGTCAACCAGCATGACCATTCGTGTAAGCTCCATAAATCAGGCACTACATTTAATTCTTCACACAATCTCATAAAATTTGACGCATCTTTGTATACCTGAGATATACACAAAAATATAAATTTTATTAATAATTAATAATCAAAGCCTTATTTTGTTGAATGACACCGAAATCTACCTGTTTTTGCCAAAAATCAACATCAAAATTATTTTTTAAATTCGAAAATAAATTCGAATCTTTCAGTTGCTCCTTATTTTTACAAAGTAGTACACCAAGCTCTTCAAATGTCTCGCGAATGGCGGTGATTCGTAATGATATATCGCTATAAAATGATTTAAACCATAAACAGATAATTTAAAAACAAGTATTTGTAAATTGTATAACTTACCGACTGATTGTATTGCCGCCATCATGATTAAAAATGAACGACCGATTTGAGCATGTTTTGATAATTGACTTGAATTTTGAATCGTCAATTCCGAATTTACGATAGAATTTCAGCCAGTCTTCAACTTGGTCAGAGTTTTCGGTAACACCGCCTGTTGAAATGACAATAACATTAAAAACATTTTCAAAAAATATCACGTCATCAAGCCTGACAACACATTTAATTACCTGGAAAGGTGAATGCGCCCGGATACGATGCCTTTGATGGTCGTTCTAATACAAGCACCTTCATCGAAATCAATTAAAATCAATTTATATTTATTATTTCGACATTTATGTGCGTATTTCGGTATAAATTACATACTTTATAATTGAAATTATTTATTTTAGCAGCCTCTGCATTTTTACCCAATATAATCAAACTCGATGAATGTTTCCAGAGTTGTTTCAATGACTGTGACATTCTTCAAACGAGACGGCGCTAAATTTATTCAATGAAAATCGTATTATCACAACACTTTTTGATTTGGAATGAGGAATTGCAGTCATAACTGGACATATACTAGCTTTGTATATACTTTGATCCGTGCTGTTTTGACAGATAGATAAGCATTCATTTCAGTTTGACACAAGTTGTGAATTGGAACCGTTGTAAGGTTTTTCCATAAATGGTTCGTGCTATTTTGGTCTCTTTGTATTTTCAATAGATTTATTTGCTTCATTTCAAAATTACAAGCGCGAAAATCAATTTTCAATTTTCAATGTAAAAATTTTAAATAAATTAACAAAATCGAATGATTATCATTGTAACAAGTGAGGGCCTGACAACAGTCGAATTGAGCGCGTTCAATGGAAACATAAAGCTTATTGGAATGTCGTGAATGACAGCCGAAAACGAATTCAGGCGGTTTTTTCATTTCGCACAAAAGTCATAACAAAAAAAACTTCGTGGTTCGGCTATTGCCGATGAAGTTTTTATCTATCACATTGAGCAGAACGGAACGTAAAGTGAAACAAATCGCATAAGCACAGTTCAAAAACGCCAGTCACCCAATGCAGACGTCTTTTTTCGTCGAACCAACATTCAATCGGCTGCCCTCAAATTAACTAGCAAATATTGAAAATTTGGTGTTTTTGATTCAAATTACTTCGAAACTTACGAAAAGTTTAATTTAAATTATAGTTGATCATTGGTCATAAACAATTAAATAAATTTGTTTTTTCAAAAAGTTTGTTAAACATTTGATTCAGTTAAAAATACGGTTGATTTTTTGTTTGATTTGTATCAGCCAGCGGTCTGGTTGTCGTCGTTAGTTCGAACGTTTTTTCCTCTCTAAATTATACATTTAAGTGGAAATTGAAATTCTAATAGCGAATATTTTTTTATACATATATACAAGTGAACGCACAATAACGACTAACTAAGCAGAGACAATGGCAGCGGCTACCAGTGTAGTGGTATTAGATCGTGGCAATAATACAACCTGTACTGTAAATTTGCACGGTAAGTAAAAAAAAACACGATTTTTTTCGTATATTTGCATAAATACACACATTCACTGCGATTCGTATTCAAATTCATTTGTTGGCGCGTCTGACAACTTCCGATCTATGGGCACATCGAACATAGTTCGAGAGTTGTATTTGCTGCGGTCGTTTCTTTGCTTCTTTGCTGCTCGAAATTCTACTCAAATTCATTTTTCGCCATACAAAGTAATTTTTATTATTTAAATTCAAATAAATAACACCGCATAAAATAGTCACGCGCGCAAGTAATACATGATGTATAGTAAGTGTCTGTCTGTCTGTCTTTACCATTTATACACATTGGCACCCAGTCGTTGTGTGCTTGCACAATATATATCGCAAAATTGCACTAATAATAATCGATGTGTGCATTAAATGAAAGGAAAATCCAAATAAACATATTTACTGCACATAGGACCTATGCTGAAAAACTTTATGTGGAGACATAGAGATGGAGAGAGAGAGACGTCGAGAAAGAGAGACATTTGTCGATTTCAATTTCGCAAAATACAATGTTTTCTATTTGCACTACATTTTCATTTCAATAAGCATTTACTTTAATGACACAACCAGTGCGATAGATAAACATGACAAAATATAACATACGTATATATAGAAATGATTGAAGCTTGTGGCAACGAGCAAAAAAAAGTTGTATACGATATTATATGCAAACGCAATTGATGTATGATACGCTGGCTGTGGATACATGTACTCGCGCCGACAGTACCAAAAAAAATGTGTGTATTTTTTGGCGTATTTCTGTTGACGGGCGCACAAGTGGAGTTGTTGCGTTCTCTCTATTTGGTGGCAACCACAGCGGCAGCAACACCAACAACAGCAGCAGCAACAACGATGACTATGTATGCGATTCTTGTTCATATTTAAATTGTACTCGTCAACTGTAATGACACTGCCGGTTTTTTTTCACGATTAGATTTATCTATGTGCAAAAAAGCGGTTGTCGACGACAACGATAAATGCGAACTCATACATTGTATTTTTGCGAATGGTGAAGGTTTTTGACTGGCATATTATATAGTGTGTGTTTTTTTCTCATTTTTTTTGGTTCGTTTCGCATAGACACATACTAACAATTCTTTGGTGCTCGATTATGAAGATTTTTCGACTAATAATATTTAAGATATTGTTGCGTTCGATTTTATTCGTTTGTTCAGTGCTTCTTTTTGTCTGCCTCTTTGGTTCCCGCTTCCACTTAAGCCAATGGTTAGCGGTAACCTTAATGAAACTCCGGTCAATGTCAAACAAATTATCAACTAACAAGAACCGCAACAACAAAAATGAAACAAAGCTGAACAACAACAACAAAAAATCGCAATCACCAACCATCGGAATGATTAAATTGATATTTTGGTGTTCTATCATCCGAATATATGCGTCAATTCATGCCATTTCAATAACTCAACGATGGCTGCTATTGGATTGAAAAACTTAAATTACATGTTGAATAATAGCACTTGCACATTAATCTCCAAACCTGTTCAGAATTGGTAATTCAAGCAAAAAAAATAATAATATTCTCATTGTTTGTTATCAATTCAAATTGTGTGCTTATTCGACTATCGTAAAATTCACTTGTTTATACGCGCAAGAGATTTTAAGCGACACATTATATTCAATGCGTATGTTTTTTGTTTTGGTTTCATCAAGTGATCTTTTTATTTGGGTCATATTGATACGCTCAATTGTTTGTTTATTGAACCGCAATAAAAGGCAAACTTTTCGCTATCAAATCGACGTACACATCTTTGCTATGAACAATGTTAACCCTTATGCTCTATTATCGAATCATCCAGAGTGATTTATAGCCAATTATTGGACAAATCATCACATGAACATTGAACAATGCCAACAAATCGAATGATAAGTAACGATTCCCTAACAAATTCCCAACAAAATGATCAAATTTTTAACAACCACCGTCAAATGCATTTTGAGTGATAAATATTCAAATGATCAAATGATGAAAAAAAAACAGCTAAAACTGGTTGGAATTAATCGCAAAAAAAATTATATTTCGTATCTATCTTTCACAATTCCTTTTTGATATTCACTGGTATTTATCCCATGGTGATGAGTCGGTCATCTCTATTGGCAAAAAAGACATTGAATAATTAGTGTATTCAGAAATTAGCATGGAAAGGAAAGCATTATTAGATAGATTAAATATTAAATTGATACTCATTTATTATACCGACCATTCCTTTTACACAGCCAGTGTACTGCCTCATTAAAATCGTTAAAATATATTCAACGTTATTTTTAGAATAAAGTGTCTACTTTAATCATTCATTATCGATCCGAGAAATAGTTGAAATTTTCTATTGAAGCTCGGATTTATAATCGGGTTATTATCATTGATTTCAATATGTTTCCAATGAAAGAATTATTCATTTGTTATCATTCCATTTTTTTTTTGCTTTTGGTTTCTTATCGCCATTGGACCCTTACGGTTCATGATAATTTTTCTCATGGATTGGACATGGAATATAATGAAATTGCTTTCTAATCCGATTTCTATACATATTCATATACTACAACAAAATGTTAATGACTTTATTGAGAATAACGAAAGAAAAAAACCACACAGAGATACTAAGATCCACCGCCTCTGTCGATTTGCCATCGAGGGGTCAAGAAAAAAAAATGGATTTTAAATCGATAAGTCGCCAGCAAAATACTGTTGCTTCATTTTTTTCGTGCAGACGAAATCAGTTTTTTGTGACATTTTGCTCTTTGACAAAACGATTTACGCATGTACAAACCGACGGACCATTTGAACTGATTTATCAGTTCGATTGATATGCGCCAGTATAGACTAATGAGTAGAAGATTGTTTTGTTTTTGAGTCGAAGAGGACAAAAGCGGACAAAAGTTCCAACTATATTTGTGATTAACAAAAAAGACAAATGTTTAGAATAACAAACAAAAAGAATGTAGAAAATGATGGAAAATAATAACTTTTAAAAACAAATTTATTCTAATTACAGGAGCCACGGTTGTTTCATGGCGTGTCAATAACCAAGAACAATTATTCGTGAGGTAAGTACTGTGTGATGGAAAAAAGTGTATATGTACAAAAACAATAATCATTTGAAGGTGGTCTTCAAACCAACAAAGCATACACAACCACACAAGCGTTTGTCAGGTCAATCACTCATTTAGTTCGTCTGTATAATGTTTCGAAAAAGAGACATTTTCTGGTAGCACACACCAAACGAGCACAAAATCATCTAAATGGGAAAGAGAAGTTAAAAGCATGTCAGAATATCGAAAATTGAATTGATGACCACATTTGCCCATGATTTTTCCCGCATGCAGAATAATATACAATATTGAAATTCCGTTCCATTACTTTGTTGCTTTAGCTGTGTCATATAATATTATATGATGCTATTTCAAGTTAAGTGCGCGCGCGAAATGTGTATATGTTTTTTCGTTGCTCTCTTCAAGTTGGCTACCACTTTTTCTTTCGATATATTTTTATCATTGTTTCATCATCAGTACAAGCAGTAGCAGTTTAGTTTTCTTATTGGAATTCTGGTTTCTTGTGCTATAGCCATTTGTACTCATGTGTTTGCTACGTTTGCCCGTTGGTTTTTTTTTTTCTTTCTTCGTTCACTTCTTCTCTCTACGTCGTTTGTTTGGTTCACTCTCTTCGTCTGTGTATAAATATCGTTCACTTGTGTTTCTCGTCTCATTTTCATCGTGCCACTTCTTCTCCGCTGGCCGTTTTGATGAACCACTTTTTCAACGTGAACCATTTTCCATGGATAAAAACTTGGCGCTACTTGAATGAAGATGTGTGTGCAAGCGTTTTTGTGCATGTGCTTTGCACACGATAACTTTGTATAATACGGCAATAGCATTTTCTTCGTTTTGTCGACGACTGTGTAGAAGTGTAAGGCAAAAGAAGCATCACCAAATACAACAACGACAACGGCGATGCTTCGGCAAAGGAAACTTTTTACCATTCAATTGTTGTTCGTACAACGTCGATTCAGAAAAACACTCTTTCGCCTGCTCTCTCTCTCTCTCTTTCTCACCCGCTCGCTCGCTGTATAATTACGGTTTTAGTATTGGTGTAGACGGGCAAGAAATGCGCTTTATTATATATTCGATTTGTATATTTCAAGATGAGAATATACATTTTATACGTACAATGTGTACAAATGTACATCTATCAATATCTCGGCTACGAATTGCTTCAACATTTTTTTTTCATTTCGCTTTTCTTTTTTCGTTGTTTTTCTTACAAAATCATTAAGCACGTATCGAAAAACTCATCCAATGCAGATAGCCAGTTGTATCGCTGTCATTTGCTGCTGACTGTTGTTGGTGAGTTCCCTTTTTTCACTCTATCGCCAACGAAATTAAAGGAAATGACTTTATTTTTCGTATCAATCTAAATCGAACGATTCGATGGATGTCGTGTGATTTTCCGAACATTTTCCATAACGAATTTTGCTCCCGAACAGCATACAGGGTGTCTCATATAAAAGGGTCGGCCAGGGTGGGAATTTCGCAAAAATCTTTAGTTGATCGATGAGTATGTTGGAGATGAAAAATAGAACATTTCTATCTGACCAGAATTTTGAATTTTTTCTGTTTTTTGAGGGGGAATTTTTTCCAAATCGATCAAAAATAAGTTCGAATATCTATCTATGGTTGCAATGTGTTCTATGGATCTCTCTCTCTATCTCTCTACGAGATGAACAATTTCAAACGATTTGAAGATCAATCGGAATGCAGGGAGAAGTGGTAGCGGTCATGAGCATTAATCCTTTTCTTCTTTTTTTTTCAAAATTGCGAGACGGAAACAAATTTTGTTGGTTGTTTTGTTCTATCGTGTTTTTCAAGTCCATTTCTACAAGATAAAACAGTTTTTAGACCATATCATTTCAATTCATTTTAGCATACAGGATCCCATAGAAAAATTCAAAGAAACTGTGTCAAAAATTGATTGTATCTCAAAACTTACGTCAGATTCTGTTTTCTCGTGCCAGAAAATGCCCCATCACACATTTCAAACTTTGATTTACGTCTCTAGAAGAATTACACTCCGGGAAAAAAAATTGATGAGCGAAAAAAGGTTTCAAAAAAAAGCGAGGGTTTCTAAAAAAAAATTTTTTGGGACGGGTCCCTATAGGAACCTTTGTCATTATCTATGTTCAATTTTCATATTTCGGGAAATATATTTCGGGAAATCGTGCGGCTACCGATTCGATAATTGTTTTCGATACTAATTTTCGCCTCAATTTTAATAACGCTTCAAATGTTCATTCCTTTTTACCACATTTTGTAGACGTTTTTTTTTTCACAAGGAGTATTTTCGCTGTAAATTACCCAAATAGAATGAAAAAGAAGCATATGGAAAGATTCTGTACAAGCGCTTTTCGTCACTTTTTTCACGGAATGCCGCACGAAGTGCAGGTAGCAACAATGACTCAAAATTGATTTTGATGACAAAGAAGAAAAAAACGATTGAATTATAATTGTTGAAGAATGTTCAGACGAGTGATGATAAATATGTAATGCAACCGGTCTCCAAATACACACATATACATGCATACATTCGAACGGTGTTGATTTTTAGCGTGAATAGCAATTCAAAGAGTTCCTTTCTAATGATTTTTTTTTCTCGCTTTGTTTCGTTCTCAATCAGTTATGTATATATAACTGGCATCCACATTGCCACAGTGTTGCTATACTTTTCGTCAAATTATCGAAATTGCTGACATTTTTCTTGCGCTTGATTTTGAAATGGAACATATTTGGCTGTGTGTGTATGTTTTTTTTTTTTGTTCACTTTGCAATTCAATATAAATTCCATCGGCACGATGCTATGCCGGTGTCGCGCGAGATTTTTCTTTTCAACCATTCCTTCTTGCCCATTCTTTGCCACCGAAATTGTAAGAAGTAAAAAAGTTTTCGTTTTTTAATTTAAAATTAACGAATCGACATATTTTTGTTTTGACTTCTCTTAGCAAACCGAAAACCAGAAGACAAAAAAATACCACGTGAAGTCAAACTTTTTTCTTGTTTTCTTCATATTTTTCTGCACGCATCTTTAATATTCCAGAAGAAAAAAAACAAAACAGCACACTGACCGTCTATGGAAAATTGGTTAATTTGCGATTTTGTTTTGACTGTTGATTTCAACGAATCTTCAGTTTATGTTTCCAACTGAAAATTTTGCGGTACAGCTTCCAAAAAAACGGCGTACAATTCTCTCGCAAAGTCAAAATTGTACAATTATAAACTTTGTTTTCTTTATAAAAAACCGCAAAAGGAAAACTGAGAGCAAATGTGAATATCAAAAGTCTTGCTCAAGTGAGGAAGAAATAGCGCGAAACGGAGACAAAAAAGGTAGAGAAAAAACCGAAACAACCAAAAACTTTCGACTGCATAAAAGATAAGGAGATCACATTTTATTATTATTTTTCGAATGAGTTTTTCGAATAGCGCAAAGAAAGAGTGAGAAGAGAATAGGTGGAAGGAGTAGCGTATTATTCAGCATTCTGTTGCTGCATGCATTAAAACATTCAACGAACATAGTACATTATTTTCATTCTGTCTCTGCATCCAGCATAGAAAAGTGATTCATTGTAGAGTTTTTTTTGTTGTGTGTATATTTAAAACGTCCACCAGCGTTTTCTTTTAGCGCACCCAATGTACGTTTCTTTTTAAACAGAAACTTTAATAAATTACATTTTTTTTTCTCCGTTAATTTTTTTGTTCGAGGATTTTTTTTTAATTTCTGTGTATGTGACCAAGTATATAACAACATCAGTTCTTGTTCAATAACTCTGTGCACTCAATGTATACCTATTTCCATAGTAACTCTCTTTCTCTTTTTCACTCTTGCTAAACGCACAGATTCGATGGAGAGAGAATATTTTTTTTACTGTGCTTCAAAAAGCCACCCATAAAAAGCAAATTTACTCTTTTGATGGAGAACGAAAAAAAATGCAGAAAAAAGTATTAAATTTGGTTTGTTCGTCTTTTTAATGATTTGTGTGCTTTCATCGCGGATATAGATATTTTTTTATTTTCATTTGTACAATTTTAGAACGCAATGCGCCACACAATGAGTGTAGCAATACCACATCACTTTTCATATTGCGTATCAAATGAACGAAGAAAAACTATGCTTATAATATTATATAACATGGAAAAGAAACACAAAACTCGGAAGCAATTTTGATGGACAGACAAATGTTGATCATATCGTCCGACGGTGTATCGAATTGGTGGCATATCAAGAAAGTTCTAAATATGATATTCCAAGTTGATAATAAAGAAAATGACTGGATATAACAGAGAACAAAACTTACACAGTGACCTCGTATCATATGCTCAAATCATTTTGGTCTCAATTCGGTTGTTGAGATATTTGAACACATGAAAGTATGAGCATTCAAATTGATTTCAGACAACTAATTTATCCAAATCCATTTTATACATTGAATCGGTTTCAGTGTTGCCTTTCTATTGATCGTACGCAGCATCATTAATGTCGTAGTTTTTTCTATCTCTTCTTTCCACTTTAATTGAAATAAATGAGAACTTTTTTTTTTCTACGGACACAATTTCGGCGTTTTTTTCGGTGCTCAGTTTTCGTTTCGTTTTGTACAAATATTCCACCGCAAAGCAAACAACAGATTATTCAAAATTCGGTATAATTTTTGCAGTTGAATTGAAATCCATTTCGTTGGATCTCATTTCTCGAGCAGGGCTTTATTTCAATATTCACGCATTGAAACATATGTGAGTAGCGCATGACAGGTTCATTCTTCGATGATAAAAAAGCAGATCATTTGCAGAATATAGAAAAAAAGATAGAGCGAGAAATGAAATTAAATACGCATCAATGCAATGGGAAAATAATTAATCATTCGAATCTAAACGATTTACTACCACCATCATCAAACATCATTCAATCTCAAGGCATAATTACTATTCCAATAAATTATCATTCAAATCCATTCTAATCGCTTGTTTTCAGTAAACGTGGCGAATTTCTTGTTAATTTATAAATCACAAAATGTTATTCCAAAATTGCCAATCGAATTCTAAATGTTGAATTATGAAGAAAGAAGAGTTAAGAGATGATAGCGATAATCGAGTCTTCGATTTAAACGTGTTTAAACGTCTCAATAATAAAAAAAATGATGTTGTTGTGATTGAAATGTGAAAAAGACAAAATAAACAAACAATTTTAAGAATCGTCGATCAAACTTGGGCTAATTTTCCATCCACTTGATGTGTTTTCCACTTGTTTTTATGAATAAGCCGGTACAGCATCGGTGCTTATGTCATTATTTATCCGAAGAGCGGCATGCACGTAATGGATTTTGTGTTTATGCTATCGTGTACTTATTCGCATAGAAAAGAATCGAAATGGCAATAAAGACAACGACCACAGTGGCAACAACAGCAACAGCAGCGACGATGTCGGCATCACTATAGAGTCCATATGATATGTCGCGATTGTGCTACATGCACATTACATAAAATACGAAAACAAAAACGATATTCCGCAGTCCTTCTCTCTTTCGCTCACTCTCTCTGTGTGTGATGTGTTGCAAATCATTTCGTTTTCGCTTCGTTCAAAACCCATTCGCTTTATCGATCTATGACAACAGTACAACAAACTCTAAACCATGCACAACACACGACTGAATCATGTACATAAAGAGCGAATGCAATTTTCTGTTGTTGTTCATTCCATTATGTACAACGACATATCAACCGAACATGTTTTACAGTGCAAAACGCGCGCGTTTCACTTGGCTCGCGTCGATTTCTGGAGTTTGCGCTAGTATTTTGTGTATTTTTGGTTTTGATGAATGGAAACCACGTGCATAAAAACTATTTGCAATCGGTTGCGTTTGTATGTATTACATAGATACCAAACACACACATACGAATAAAAATGGCTGTCGGCCATCAGCCTAGTTTTTCATCATTCATTACGATTGCATATGAAAGAAACTAAACCATTAATATTGCTACCGAACGCCAATGTATACCATCGCGTATTTTGTATAATATAACATATAGATAAATGGTAGCACCGTTGCCGTTGGACGCATTTGCCATTATACAAGACGTACGTAGACAATGAAAATGTGCCGGCGGCAAAACTTCGAGAAGGAAACAAATACATACAATAAACAACAACAAATAACATATATATGTATATACGACAACGAAATGAACGATAGAACCGAACGAACGATGCACAACGAAATGAGTTGATAGTTTTTATTTCGGTCTTCATTTCATTTGTATATGTTTTGCGTTAGATTTCGCCCGAGAGTCACTTGTGTCTCTTTGTGGAAAAACGCGCTTTTTCTCCCATTCTCTCACTTTTTCGATTCGCAATTTATATTCTATTCCGTATATTCCATGGATGCTGACAACGATTTCGTTCGATTCGTACTTTTTCTTTATTCGAATTTTCAGCGTTCGTTTCACGTGTGCTTTTTTTATCGCGTTCCATTTGAAAACTATGCTCTGTTTTTATATTATAAAGAATTTTTTTTGTTTAATTTTTTTTTGCTCGCTAGCGCTTTTCAAGCTTTACATTCTCGTTGGGTGACTCTGTTATGCTCCGCTTTCAATGTAAATATCCAATGCTTACAAAGTTTGTGTTGAACTTCTTTCTTTCTCTCTCTCTCTCTCTTTTTCTCACTGCCAAATGTTAAACCATCATTGTTGCCGTGCATTGATTTTTTTGTGTGCGCTTCCTTTCTTTGGTCGACGGCATGCTACGACAACAAATTTCTATATTCTGTATGTAGTATGTTCAAATTTTTTTTGTCTTTGGCCAAAAATATCGTGTATTTATTCATTGTGTGTGCGTGTTGTACGATTTTTTCTTCTTCTCTTGTCGTCCAACTGCACGTTTTATACAAGTATGTGATCGCTTAAGTCTTGTGTTTACAATCGCAAAAAACGGATGATTTCTATATTCCATTCTATTGAATGCACTTACTCCATATTCCTGTATTGTGCGAAATTCTCGACAAATAAATATATGTGGCATACACAATGCTGCCTTTTCATATTGAATCAAATGCAAACGTACTTTTGACACGGAACATTAAGCGATGGTTACAAAAAAAAACTTTTATTCATGCTATGTTTTGATGTCGCTTTTTTCGTTGGCTCTCTCTATCTCTCGCTCGCTCGTTCTCTTGCTTGGTGCACGTATGTTTTGTGCCCGGCATTGCAAATGGCTTATTATACGTTCTTCAGACAAAGACCATAACAAACTAAGAATGTTTTGTTTACTCCCCATTCCACTGCCATTTTTAATATCCAGACCTTTTTTTCGCGTCTCGTTGCAACAACTGCAGCACACAACTTTTTTCCTAACTTGTTCATAATCAAATTTCTTTCATCCTCGTTCTTCTCTGTTTCTGTCTCTGTTGCACCAAACTTTTCCTTCTCAAAAATACTTTTCTCATCTGTGTATTTTGTTAAATAATTTTTCATCGTGAAACAAGAAATGATTCTCTTAAGCATATCGAGTTCAATGAAATTGATGATTCTTTTTTTGGCATTTTTACAATTTCTTTGTGTCTGGTCAGTTACATCGATTTTTTTTTGTTCCAACTCCAATTATTCACTCTAAACATCAATTTTCTATTTTAACATCAATTTTTGTTTGTCTCTTTTGCAGCAAATTAGCTGTTTTTGATGGTAAAAAAGCAATTCGTGGCGGGATTCCGTTTGTTTTTCGTAAGTACAATTCGATTATTCTTTTTGCCTTGAATAAACAATGTCGAGTTATTCAAATATTATTTCGTTAATGTCTATAGCACAATTTGGACCGAGCAGTTTTGGGCCACAACATGGATTTGCACGCATCTCTCGATGGACGTTGGAACGAGCACCCGAAAGACTTCACAATGGTGATATTGAAGCGCTTTTTTCACTCATGGACAGCGAATTCACAAGGTCAATGTGGAATTTTCCGTAAGTAATACTATTACGTTTGAAAAATGATTTAAAGATTTAACACCCTTTTTCGTTTCACAGATTTAGAATAACTTATCGATTAATTTTGCGTGAAAAAGAATTACATTTCCACATTGGTGTGTTCAATCCAAGCAAAGATGTTACATTTTCGTTCAATTTGTTATTGCACACATATTTGAAAGTGCCAGATGTTCGTCGATGCCAAATTACCGGTTTGCATGGATGCACATTCATTGATAAGGTACAAACAATAAATGATAGGATGATGAGAGTAAAAAGGGCAATAAGTGAGGTTAGAACGATACGCAAATTTGAACCTTATTGTTGAACCAAATTCGAGTAACATTCTAACCTTACTTGCCACATTTTTACTCTGAGCCTTCAAATATCTAACTACTTCTATACAAATATCAATTCATCAAAAATTGTCGTAATTTTTAGACTCGTGATGGTCCAATTTATCAAGAAGGCAGAGATGTTGTCACAGTCAATGAATGGACTGATCGAATTTATCAGCACACACCGCAAGAGCATATTATCACAAATGTTGTATCAGGCAGAAAAATGAAGTTGCAGAAATACAATTTCCCCGACACAGGTACACACATACAATCGGCCATCCAATTTTAATGATTTAAAATCGGTCTGATCATATTGATTTTTTTTCTTCGTTTTTTTACAGTTGTGTGGAATCCATGGTCGGATCAGGCACGTGAAATCGGTGATTTGGGTGATGATGAATATCCAAATATGCTTTGTGTTGAAGCTGGTCATGTATCGACTCCAGTAATTCTATTACCAGGTACATTTATCGAAAATTAAATGCAACAACGTTCAAATAAATTTTATTTTTTATATCGATCTATTTTCAATATCGTTTCAGGCACTGCTTTTGAAGCGAGTCAAATTCTTCAGGTATATATATTATCCGTAATCTGTCTGGCGTTTTGTTGCCCACCCCAATTGTTAATGAAACCATTGAAAGTACGGCTTTACGGTTTCATACATATGCGGGTGTTTTTTCTTATCATCTCTTTTGTTCATCAAAAATTATACATTTTCTTTTCGTTGTTTTGTACCTGAATATGTTTTGTTTTGTTCTTTTTTTTCTGTTTGTGTGTATTTTTATGTTGATTATTTGTTTCTGTTGATTATCAATAAAAAAAAGCTGGCAAATTTAATCAAACACAAAAAAACCAAACACAGGTAATGTGAGTAGAAGCTATTGGGACGGCATCATCGGCGCGGAAACGTAATAAAAAGAATAAAAAACTTCTATCAGCGTTAGCCGTGGCGGCGGCTGCTGCAGCAGCAGCTGGCGTGTCATCCCAATCATCAACACAACCATCGCAATCAAATTCAACGGCGTCCAGCCAAAACATTGAACAAAGCACAATGGCATCAACGGTAAATGCATCGACAAGCGGTTCGTCGGGAGCAACACCAAATTCACCACCTCCACCACCACTATCGCTATGGCAAATGCCAAACATTTTTTGGAACAATTTCCCAAAAAAGAATACCAACTGTGTCGATCCATGTCAACAGCAATCATCAACCAATCGAATGTAAATGATGCCACACATTTATATACACACACACGTACACATACCGCGCACACGCTCAAACTACAAATTACAACTATTCCATTAGAAATTATGATGCATTTCCAATTCTAATTAAAAACGAAACTATAAATTGAAGTCAAAATTTTGTGGCTTCCGTTCTATTGAAGTGTTAGTTGTGGATTCATTCCAATAGAGTTAATCACAATCTGATCGATTCAGATTCATTATTTTGGTGCTTATTAAAAAAAAAACATGTAATAATTTGAGAATCGGTGATTGACTTGATTAAATATGTAAATATTATGTCTCTTGAGATGAATGTCTAATGCACAAATACTGGCTACATTTTATATTTCTTATTATTATTATTAGTTTTTATCTCGTCGAAGATATCAAACAAATACACTTTATAATTGTATACGAAATATATAATTGTAAAATAGATACAGAAACAGATAGATGTAAACGTAATGAATAAATAATTTCAATTTAATAGTTATATTTAGTTGATTTTCATAGAAATACTTGATTAGATGATTATTTTATGTAAAGAAAACCAACAACAACAACAATTGAATGCAATGGATTCCATAATTTATGTCCCTTGGTTGTGATATATAAACTATTTAAACATTTTCTTTGTCATTTAACGTATGTGGCTGATGCGATTCAACATGATAGCCCGCATTTGTTTGAATTTTGTGTTCTGGAATTAACGGTGCCGATATTAGATTGAAAACAATTTTCATTCGAATTTTTACACCTTTTGCATTACACCTTCAACGGAATCGCGATTGTTTATCGTAAACATTCATAAAAAAATAAAATAATATGATACCTTTAGATAATACGAGGAGTCAACTATGATATAATAGCATGTAAAAAAAAGAGTATAATCTAATTCTACTTGGAATATGGATATATTTGCCACATTCTCAAAATATCTCTTGTATACGAATTAATTGTAATTGTAATTATCATCAACGGATCGAAAATAAACACTTATATACATACTATTATAATGTTTACCAATTGTTTCTTTAAACTTTACAAGAGAAAGAACTTATAGACTTTATATGAAATCTACACACACGGCATATATTCAGTCGATGAAATACAAATGATAATGTAAAATTGATATTGTCAATAAACTTTATTCCCAATTAGACAACTTTATTGACTGAAGATTTTCTCTTAAATTATTTATTTACAAAAAAAAAAAACGATTCGAATTATACACGCAAAAATGTAAGTCTTATTAATTTGTGGTTAATTTTTTAAAAATTAAAAATTTGAATCATATTTTGAAGTTAAGTAAAACGGCAGCATATCGTCGTCAAAACATAAAGACTATAAATCCAAATACAAACTATGCTTAATTGTTGCAAAGGTTCTGCATGTGCATTCATTGGGGTCAAATCTGGGCCGGTTTCATGTGGTATTGTTTTTAAATCTGGACAGAGATGTGATTTATCATGGCTACGTCCACTTTTGGCCTGACACAATATGTCTCTTTTGCACTCAGTATCACATTCGGGTCGAAATGGTGATTGTTTCCAATAATTTCTGTAGGCACAAATAAACAAAATAATCGATTCATTGTTTAAAACTACGGACATTAAGAGTGAGACGAAGGATGACAAAATTCGTGTGTTGAACACTTTTATTAATGAACAAGCGAATAGAGGGGATTTCAATACCTGAAGTACAAATCAAATAAGTCATCATCATTTTCCATTCGTTTGATAAGACCATCCCAATCGATCGGTCGTAGCCCTTTCATCGAATATGCATGTTTTGCTGAATAAGATTTTCGCCAAATTGGATTATTGAGAATATTGGCCTCTTCTAAATCCAAAATCCACGTTTCATGGTCGACAACCATTCGAGTTGTATCATTGTGATCACCATCAATATAATAAATTCGATAACCGGGATTCAGATCCCAGTAACTAGTCAGCGATGGACCGACGTATGCAATATTTGTTGCACGACCTGTGTGCAAATTTTATTTGAAAAAAGAAAAAAAAATATTAATTAAAGGCCGGAAAATTAGAAATTATGGGTAAAATAAAGAACGACGATTACTTAAGTTTTTTGGGTCATAAAATACTTCAAACTCGTCAAAATGTGTGTGTCCAAAAAATTGAGCAGCAACAGTATTCTCGAATCGTGCTATAATGTCATAATAATTGTGAGACCATATTCTCAAGCAGTCTTGATTGCCTGGTGGAATGTGCCCGATTATATGCACTTTCTCATTGGCATTTTCGGCCGATTGCAGTTCATTTATGAGCCATTCTAATTCTTCGGACGGATCTTTTGACTCCGTGAGCAGCCAAAAGTTCAAATTGGAACAAACATTCATATTTAACGAGATTATTCGAAGACCATGTCGTACTAATGTTGAATAAAACGCTCCTTTTCGCAACGTTCGTGAGGTATTTATTGATAACCAACGACTCCACAGTGTATCGATATCGTTATAAAATAAAGATATCGAACTATCTTGATTTGATGTTGGAAAACTGAAAAACTAACGATTAAAAATTCAATAATTATTGAAAAAATGCAGTCGCTTACAAATTGGCTGGTGCTCGTTCATGATTGCCGATTGCTGGGAAAACTTTTATTCCTGGCAGTTTTTCGGATACCAATATGATAGTTTCTTCGATGACATTCATTAATTCTACGTTTGTTTGAATCCACACGTCATGTGGCACGACATCTCCCGTCCAAATTACGTAATCAATATCCTGTAAGTAATATTAGAGTATTGACATTTGCGAGATCATGGTTCATTTCTATAAATAGGTTTACCTTATGTGTTTCCATAATGTGATTCAAAAAATGTTCGATAGTTCGTGTTGGTAAATCACATCTATAATCGCCCCATTTCCCTGCGGCGGAATAAGTTGAATTTGCTTGGCCGTCGGTTTCACGGCAACACAACGGCTCATTGCAGGCTGCATTAGAACCTTCTAAATACAGTGGATCCATATGTGTGTCGGAGATATGCAAAACTTTTAGTTTTGGTGCATTTTCTTTTGGCAATGGAATTTCCCTAACTTTTGGCTTTGGCAATGTTTTAAGTGAAACATTCCATGTATGTCTCTCATTTACAACACTTTCTTCACACATATCATCCAGAATAAAATAGCACACTTCAGATGAGGTCATATTCACTATTTTAGCCAGCCGTATAATCTCTTGGCCGAATAAACGGATGCCTAATTCACAAACATTCGGCGTTTGAATTTTTAAAGTGATGCATAATTTAATTCCAATTGTTAAAATTCGCTCATCACTCTCGCCGGCCTTTAAATAACGATTAAGCAATGCCACACCTGAAATATGTATGGATTCAATATTAGTTTATTTGATAAAATTACTCGGCTCTGCTTTTACCCCATTTGCAACTTTCACAGTAGTTACTCAATATGTCCGACGTATTGGACATCAAATCAACGTCATCTGATCCACCCAGCAAATATAGACCGTTAGTAACAGAAATGTTACTTCCTTTCAAAACAAATATTATAACAACTATTTTTAGCAGACACTTCATTATATTTTCAAATATTTATTATTTATGTTCACAGAGTTTGTTACTTCTATTCGGATGAAACTGATTTAATTTTTGTATTTGAAAATCTTCGTTTAAATATCGCTTCCGATTCGGGAAATTGCCACGATAATTACAGTGATTGTCCTTGTGATTAAATTTAATCGACACAAATCACGTATGAATAATTATTTTCAACTTAATTCAATATGACGAACAACGAATAGTGATGTTCAAAAAATTTCCATTCGCAAATGTAATATTGTGAAAAATTTCCAGTCTTAAAAGTTGTTGTTTTTATTGAAACCATGATCGATATGATACGCTTTGTGTAAACATGCACATCCTATTTTTAATTTCATCAATTATTTTCTGTAATACAAACAAATAGTACTATAAATAGAATATACCTCAAATAATCAATTTATATAAATGTTTAGTTAATTTTTATTTATCAGATTTATTTAATTTTTGTTTATTTCCGTTTTGTTTAAAAATTCTAACCAAGGAATTTGGATCGATCATACGGAGAACCTCAATTATCATCGAATGCGCCATTTAAAAGTCAATCACTAAATTATGCAACATTAATAAAATAACGAACAACTCAGCAAACTTTTAACTTAAAAATACAAAAAACTCTTTAGAAACAACAAAGTTCTTTTTTATCAGTAAAAATTTGTAAAATGATGAAAAAAAGAAAAAAATTATATATGATAAAACATTATATTGAAAAAAGCATTCCAACCAAATGCGAGCTCAAACTAAATAAAATGTCTTACGTCCGTAAGATGAACTTTTCCGCACTGTGATCCACGACATGCATTTATTATATATCGTTTGATGTAAAATTTAATTCACGAGAAAATTAAAAAAACGGTGACCGATTAAACTTTTACAACAAATGTGTGGCTCCAAACTAAATTCATTTTAAACTTATTTAGTATTATGTGGACGTCAAATAATTTCCATTAAAATTGTGCAGGATAGAAACCACCTGAAAAAAATATTAATAATACTTATGGGTATCTTAGTAAAAAAAAGAAGATTCAACGAATTCGTTTATTAAAAATTTCTTTATTATTCATCTTCAACTTGGCATAGCATAACAAATTGAATGAAACTCTTATTTTCATTAAATTCAGTTTTGGAAATGGAAAGACAAATTATAAATCTTATGGGTTTGTCTCTCAGATTAGCTATGAATTAGTATACTCCATATTGGTCACAAATTATTACAATAAACTGTTTTAAACTTTTCCGTTTTAAATCACACTTTATCGATTATATTAATATGCGCCTTAAACGAATGCTATAGATTTTTCTTTTCTTTCCTTTTTACTTAAACTTATTAACTAAAATGATCAGTATTAGAGAACAAGAAAAATAAATGATGTAAGCTCTCAATTCCAATGTGAGAATGTTGAAACTGCTTCATACATAAAGTAAACTATTTGATTGCAAATTGAATGAAAAGAATGTCTCTTGAACATTTAATCGATTTTGACTGCTCCGTAAATTTTACGAATGAAACTATATGCGGCAAAGAATCCAATTGATCCAGTTAGCAGCCAGAATGTGAGAACCATCAAACCTATAAAAGTAACATCAGAATTGATTAGAATTGAGTGAAAGTGAATAAACAAATCAATTTAATTACCCGTATAGCCCAAATAGAGTAGAGTCGGTATGAATTCTGTAATCGATAACTTTGTGAAGAAGTAAAATATGCTATACACAAAAATATAGACAGCTGATCCACCGGACACCATGAATGATCGCCACCACCACCGATAATCCTGCAATAAAAACACACGTTAGATAAGTAAAGTTCATATTTGTTCAGTGAAAACCAGTAATATAATACATATACATCAGGAGGAGGAACGGTGGGGAGGAAAGTGAGAAAGAGGAGAGCGCTAAAGAGGGAAAGTATTTTTTGGTGAAAAAAACTATCTTTTTTCATAAAAATTTCTTTTTTGGATAAAAACATGTTTCTCTTTTCTTAAAGAGGTGATCCTCTACAGCGATCTCTTCCTCCTCACCATTCCTACTTCTCAGAGGAACAATCCATGATGTTTTCAGACATCTTGAATCGAATACAATCTCTGGTAAAAACGTACCTCTCCACATAGCTGGAAATACGTCATAACGATAGAAATTTGGCCACAGCTCACTACCAAAATGCAAAACACCAAGAAAAGGAATCCAAACAGATAGTAGAATTGATTTTGCCAAATGGCGGTGAATACAAAGAACAATTCAATGAATACGGCTCCAAATGGTAAAATTCCAGCCATCATCACACTGAAATCAAATGAAATAACACGAACATTTGGAAAAACACTTCTAAACCATGCATTTGCGTAGTTCATTGACAACTTACCAAAGCGGTAGACTCATGTACCATTGTTGTGTCGGCACTTGCCGTGGAATCATATTTGTTCGAACTGGATGTTGATACGGATGTTTACGATAGCCAAAATAGTAGCCCAAATACACTAATGGCACCGAAATTCCGAACCATAAACACAACAACGAAATCATTGTACTAAATGGAACGGCGCCGCTTGAATGCTTGTCCCAAATGAAAAAGTTCAAGAAAAAGCACGTTCCGAATACAATTCCTGGATATAGTGTTGCTGTTAAAAATGCTCCCCGCTTCCATTCACGGCCCTTCATTATGAAAATCATTTCAAGATTAGTTTCTTTACTTCTGAGCACCTTATTTTCTGTTTCAATGTTACCTTCATTGTTTTATACAAACGAGCAGAAAAGTAACCAGCGATTAAGCCCATAATTACGTACAAAAAGATGCCCGATGTCATCAAAGCGCCGCGTGATGCTGGTGACAACATGCCCAACATAGCAACAACTGAACATACAAGAAAGACATGATTTTTTTCGTATCATTTGATAGAGAGATCAAGTAACAAAATACTCACAGATCGTAATCAGTGCCATGAAAAATATTTGAATACCACTTCCAACAACGGCGGCAAACAATCTCGGATGTTTGGGTGGTCGAAATACATCGCCATGAACTAATTTCCAACCGGTTTCTTCCAATGTGTCTTCGTAATTGTCATCAGTATTATACCGTGCGATGTCTCGACGCAATGTTCTGATCATAATCATCGTTAGAATTCCAGACAAGAAAAATACCACGACCAACGAATTGATGATGCTAAACCAGTGAATTTGTACATCGCTCATGGCCAAATATGTATCCCAACGTGATGCCCAGCTCACAGCTGACTCCTTCCATTCCACCGAATATGTGAAATATAGTTGATTGTTTGCATCCGGAACCACCTAAATTATATTCAATTCATGAATGTACTTTCTCGCATCATTTGTTACTTGAATTCTTACAATTTGTGGCTTTGATGTGTCTGGAAAATTGCATGTATCGCCTTCGAATTTAATATCACTCACTGAAACCGACATTGGCTCCACCTCGAATCCAACTACTCGATACTTATCTCTGTGAACATAACGGAAATCGTAAAATTTTTATGATATGTTCTGGAATATAAATTTAGATAAGAGCTTACTTTGTGTGCATGTGATAGGACAATATGAATTTCAAATGATTGTTTATGTATGTGTTGTCCTTTACAACTTGACCAAGACGATAGCCGTGTTCGAATTGTAGTTCTTTTGTTTCCGGATTAAACACTCGCGTCGCAACTGGCAAATTATCAACCAATCTTAAGAAAATCAATCGAAAAAAACATATTTGTTATAGTTCATCTGTGACATGTATCTCCGACACCAAATTTAAACAACTTACAAATGCACATAGTATTCATGATGGATGCGTTCGGACACTTTGCTCGATTGTTCATTGTTCCAATTCAATGGTTGATCTTTTCGATTGCAGAGTAATTTACAATTTATATTTTCGGCCATTCGTACTTCATACGGTGTGTTTACAATTCGATCGCCACGCAATACTTCACCCAAATTCTCCGATTTGTAAATAATCGTACCATTTTTCGGTAAGCAAAAATGTAACGAGTAATATTCATATGGCAGCTGTGTTCGTGTGCTGGTCATTTTAACTGCTTTCACCATAATCGGTTGACCCTTGACAAATTCAACCGGAGCAACGCCCGGAACATAAAATGTAAGCACCTTATTTACATTTTGACAAATGCAAAACAACGACAATAGGATTAACTGGAATAAAAATGAGAAAATTTAGCACAAAATTCACCGTTTCATTTAATATTGACACATCAATATGCACAATCTGTGCAAATACACATCATTAATTGGCTACGTAAATGCTTAAGATTCGTTTGTCTTTCATATACTCACCTTAAACTGCATGATTTATTTGTTCTTATGCACTACAATCTAATTTTCAACTATATGTTACAATCAGATTTTAAGAACGCTTCTTAAACCTTGAAAAATTATACATTTATTGCGGATGTTGATTCATTTTTGCGCTCGAAATGTACATCTATACCCTTTTTTTGTCTACGACGACGAACAAGATTTCTTCGTATATTGTTTTACGTTGACGTTTCTACTGATACTGTGATTCAACAGAAAATAGACAGATGTTTCATGGTATTGAATGTATGCGTGACATATTGTCAATGTGCTAGTTCATGAATCTCTCACCGAATGCGATTCAAATAAATGGCGGCGCATTCAAAATTTCGTTTAGTCGATTCTGTATTAAATAACCTCATTACAAAAATAAAAGGCAAGTAGGTTATTCCATTGAATCTATCAACTGTTTATTTAAGAAAATTATTCTAATAACAATTAAATCAAATTTTAATCTGCTGCATGTATTTGACAGTTCAGAGCAAATACGAACATTCGGTATAACTTCGACGAGATTTTTTTTTCAAAAATGACTGTATATACAACTGGTATAATAATAAAAACTGGATCGATTCTTTTTAATAATTAAACTGATTTAGCCGCGGGCATTTAACCCGTGTGTGCCCTTCCTGTTTGCAATTTCCACATTTACGTTTCCGTGCTGTAAAAATTGAAATTGTTTAAGCATACTAAGTATTGAGAACAGCTGTAAAACCTTGAAAGTCGTACCTTGAGCTTGGCCTTGACCAGTTCCACCTTGATTTCGTGTAACATTGCTGGTTGACGTGCTTGCGCCTCCAGAACCAAATCGTTGTCCTGCGAATGATGTGTTTTGTGGTGATGCATCTGCCCATTCGAAAAAGTTACAGGCCGGTTGCTTTGGGCATTTGTAAAACTGTCGACCTTTATTCGGACCATCTTTTTTCACTGTCAATCTGTGGAATAAAATCATTAATTTTTAATCGAAACGTTGAAAACTCCTTTTTTCAGCTGCTGTTCACAGTATCTGGTTAACATCGATTGGCGCCGTCTTGGCCATTAGTTTATTTCCAGTCCGGTGAATGACTACCGTGAGCAGCAGTTACTGGGTAATCTAATCTTAAAGATTTGAAGACACCTTGAGCTCTCACAAAAATAATACTTACGATATTGCCGGTTGATTGCATCCTGAGCACTTAACATTTCCTGGACTTCTGAATGTCTGATTTTGTTGTGGATTAGGCAACGGCGGTCTATTGCTTGGCGGTTGATTATTTTGTGGTTGTGCATAAGTACTTGGGTTTGTTGGTGTTGTTCGATTTATTTGACTTCGATTTGCTGGATTTGGTTCTCCTCGAAGACTTGACGGATTTATATCTAATATAACACGTAAACTGCTGTCGCATAAAATACAACTTTTATACGATCGATCGTTGTCATCAATGAGTGATGGATTGAGCATGGCCAACATATTATTACTCTTAAATTTTATCACAATTTGTTTGTTGCCATTTCTGCATTTGTTGCATTCATTGTTTTCGATTTTAATTTCCTTAATCACATCGGCCAGCCATATGACATGAGTACATTCCGGTTTGCCCATACAAGTGAAGAAAAATCCATTGTTGTCTTTCTTTGCTCTCAAGCACATGTAGTACTTATTACATTTTGGACACTTGAAAATTGGCTCAATGGTTGGCACCGACATATTTGCAGCTGGTGCTGCTTGAGGCACTGCTTGTAATCTTTGATTTTAAAACATTCAGATAAAACATCGTTTTAATCTTCTTTTGTTTCTTTCGAATTTCTTACCTGTTTGCTAGTGAAGCATCAATCGCTTCTATTCTGTCTGTTATTACGCGATATGCTTCTTTGTATTTCTCAATTTGTTCTCGCAGCACTTCGTCTGGTCTACGGTGACCGGTACAAATACTTTTCAAATCTCTTTCAAGTCCTGCTCTTAATTCAGGATAAGCCAGTGGCAATTCAACTGAGTCATATCCTTCAACCAAACCCATTCCGAGAGTACCCGGTACCAAGTAACCATTTTCAATTTCTCCAATATAACCTGTGGAAAAAGAATCAAATTGGTGACGAATCAGTAATTGAGGCTATTGCAGTCCATTGTGCAACATTGCCAAATCATTTCAAAGAATTACCTCTTGTTTTAATGGTATTAATGTGTTCAGCGTGTGTGGCATCTGTTCCAATTCCGTTTTTGTCCATAAGCGCAATCAAGTCAGCTTCAGTAAGTAGGTTCGGTGGCGATGTGGAACCTTCCGGCATCGATAGTTCGGTCGGTTCGAATGTGTTGCCCACCTGATAGTTATGAATCTCTTTCGAATTCCACTTTTCATAAATATACACATCCAAATAGTTTCTCTCATGAATGCAGAGACCAGTTGCTGTAAACTATAAAGCAAAACCGCACTTAGTAATCAAATTATGACTGATGTATTTGTGCTTCAATTAACCTGTTCGTTTGCAATGACTGCTTTTACTGTCGTTTCAGAACCAGTTGCATCTCTACTCACACAGGCCAAAAAATGACGGCAAATTAATTCGTATACGCGTTTCTCATTGCCCTGCAAATCTAAAGTTGGATGATTATAAAGAAAAAATCTTCATAAAACATGTCAAACTACATGCCTGTCGCCAATTTCAGTGGATGAATCGGTGGATGCGCTTGATCCGATTTTTTGCCATTTCGAGGATTTGGACTCCAATCAATTACTCTCTGTGCAAAATTGCCCCAATCTGGATGATTTAAATGATTATTTACCAGTTTTCTGTAATGTAAAATGTCATTTGGTGAAGTTTTTGAATCTCCAAAAAATCACAATGTACTTACTTAAGATCAATGTCACCGGAAAACATATTCGTTTCAGTTCTTGGATAGCTGATGATACCATTACTGTATAGCTTTTCAGCTATTGTCATCGTTTCCTTGGCGCTCAGTTTTAGTTTTCGGGATCCAAGCTTTTCCAATTCAATTGTATCCATCGCTTGAGGTCGCCATTTATTTTTCGGTTTTTGTGTTACTTCCACCACTTTGGCGGTGGGTCCACTTTGACATATCATCAAAAATGCTTCACAACTGTTTTTATCAAATAATCGATGTCGATCCCAGTTGTATTCCACTGTTAAGTCGTTCAATGTGTGCGTTACTGAAAACAAAAATCAATTTAGATTAGAATTCAGTAAGCAATTAGAAAAAGATGGACTGTGGCAGTGAAAAAAGCGTCGAATATTTTAAAATGAATATCATCTCATACATTTTAGCTTCCAAAATGATCGCGGTATGAATTTTTCGATGTCGTTGAAGCGGCGTGCCACAAATCCCAATGTTGGTATTTGACAGCTGCCGTATGAAACGAGCCTTTTTTCAATTATAGCTGGAAAAACGCGTTGATATCGTAAAGTTTGAAACCGTGTAAATGCCGCTCCAATTCTCAAGTCAAGCTCTGTTCGAACGTCGACAGCTTGACTTTGTCGAATATCAGGCTCGCACACATTGTTCAATGCACGATATATAGCGGCCGATGTGATCTCCGAAAATCGAGCCCGAAACACTTTGATATTTGGTTTGACTGCTCTGCATGTGTCAATGATTTCAAAACCAATATTTTCTCCTTCTCGATCGCAATCCGTCCACACAATCAAGCCGTGACAACTTCGAATCTACAAATAAATTTTTTATTTGAATGAAATGATCAATTTAGTAATAGATCTTAATCTTACCTCACGTTCTAACGTCTTTTGGATTTTTACATAATTTTCTGGACACAATTTGACGACGGGGGCATCAAACAAGCTGATCGGATCACATGATTGCCATTGTTTGTATACATCGATGAAATCGTATGATAGTAAATGACCAGATACGGATGTCATCACCATGTCTGTCTGGGCTCCCTTGAAATTCACTTGAAATGAATAGAGTTTGTTGAATGGCGATAAACCTTCTGTGCGTCTTGAATTGCCATTTGACAGAAGTGCAGCAATCGACTTTGCCGCATCATTTTTCTCAGCAACATTCAAATATTTCATTATTGCTCCCGATGTTTTACAATAATTTCGCACATTCACAAATGATTTGTCACATTTCACACTTAATTGATTATAACGAACGATGATATTCCAGCGTAACATAGAAATAATATGCGATCAACAGATTGTTTGTAAACACATATTTATAGTGACGTTGAAATTTTGAGGTTATGTGCACCAAACCAACTGTCAAATTCCTTGCCGCTATTGTGAATTACCCAAGTAGCACTACAAAAAGGAAAATTACAAAGTAAAAGACCGCCAGTCACAAGAATGCAAAAATATACTATTTATGAAAACTAGATCTATATAAATCGGATTTATTTTATCAAAATCGATACATTGAACTGGATTAAATTACCTCTGTTCCAACGAAAACCATAACAAATTTAAAAAAAAAGCGGAAACAAAGTTGAACGATCTGCAAATGATTATTTGTTTTCTCTCTTGACCACACAAATAGAATTTCATGAATGAGCATGACTCTGTGGTTGTTTACGTTGTCTAGCTAAATCTTGTCCAGCTAAACAAAAAAAACTGAATTGGAAACAGAAACAATGTCTGTTTTCAAAGGGAAAACTAGCTTTTTGATAAATAAAGTGAGAAAGAAAAAAAACTGTGTGGAAATATTATTCATGTTTGAAGGATTTCTAAAATATGCGAATTTCCTCTTCCGAATAACAAATATGTTTGACTTTGTTTGTTTGTTTGTTATTTTTTAAAAGTTAATTTCTTTGCATCACACCATTTTATCAAACCGTTCGCTTGAAATATTTTGTATGCTGCATGTTTTTGCTGCACCTCAATAATTCAATCATGATTTCCGCGCGCACAAACTGCTAGATGCGATTGATGTTTGCGTCAATCACAATCTAAACAGTGAAAACAAAAATTCAAAATGAAACCGAACATGTAAATTAAGGTGGCCCACAAAAGAATAAGTATTTAATTTTCAACATTCCAGGCTGCTTTTATTATGTTCGGGGCTTAAAAACACGATATGGATCTTTACTTTGTTCAATTGGAAAACCCAGGCGCTACAAACCCATTCGGTAAATTCCTCGACGGGCCATTTTGGAAGCACAATCGCTTCGTCGACACTCTCTTTTAAAACGTTTAGTTCATTTATGTTCATTGAAGCGACAGGATGGCAGTTCTCAAGTTAGGTAATTGCTATTGAATTTATTTGAGTTATTTTAATTGAGTGTTGACAGAGTTATAGATCTATCGAAATCGAGCCACATTTTATCAATCGAAAAGTGTTTTATTTTGTTGATTTATTGCATGTGTGTAACGGCATTTATCTGTTATTTTTCAACTCCCAATAAAAACTTTTACTTCGGTCAAGTCGTTCATTAAGTCCAACTGTAATTTGAACTTGAACGAAAATTTTTGCAATATTTGCTTAACAATACAGACATTTGACTTTGTTGTGAGTGTGTGTGCGGTCTATTGTTCCAGTACATGACTAATAAATCAAGTGCCAATTAGATTTATATGATCAAAAGCAATATAATTGTGCAGCAATATCAGTGGCGCTTGTTTTTGCCTGATAGTAAAAGTTTACGTGTTTCGTTTAGCTGCGGCGCTCGAGACGTTTTAGGCTCGGTTTGAAATGAAAATCGTTCAATTTACAATGTATCACTTTCAGGCCTCGCATACATTTGTTGATTATACTGTGTTAAGAAATGAAAATTGATATTGACCAAGCACTGAACACAGGCACTGAATTATTTAATCGAGAAAACATGTGAAAAAACCGCGAAACAATTGAGCAATTGTCAAAATATTTGGCACTTGAGCAATACAATTTTTTCCGAAAAGTCCGAAACATCACGAAGTAGAATACCGGAGTTCACTGACTCTTCTCTCTTTCTCTGTCGTTCATACATTTTCTTCATTTCATACATAACAATTCTGCTACTATGTGCATAACATTGTACAAGTGACAAATAACACTTTGGAATCGCTTATAAATTCAATCGCAACATTTAAAACAAATGCATCCCGTTTAGATGCTACAGTACGGATAAAGTACGATTCAATGAATGTTTATTGACGAACATTAGTTTGGAAAAAAAAATGGCGAACGCTTCCACATATATATTGAAACAGCCACACGAGGGGTCATTATCAATTTCATAGTATAAAATAGCGTCTCAGAGATGATTGCATTAATTGATATTTTTATGTTTACAAAAAAAAATGTTAAGCCGACTCAGGGCTTTGTAATTGCAATGCAATGCAAGCAAAAAATATTTTTTGTCATTCACTCAATTAAACCATAAAAAAAATGAGAATAAATGGTGAATTAGCAAACAAACTCAAACAACAAAAAAACACACAAAGGCAAAGTCGGATTTTTTCCAACACTCACAATTCTAACGAACAAAATAATATATTCGCTTGATTTTGATGAAAAGTCTATCGAATTTGATTTCTTACAAACACAAAATTACTTATAACATTTACTTTTCGTAAATAAAAAACACTTTTCACACAATATGAAAAACGTTTTAACCAAAGAAAAAATAAAATAAACGAAGCTATACGACGTTTTTCGACTGTGAATTTCTCTCTATCTGGCGATTTGTTGATTCGTTTCGTCGATATTATTCGTACACAGTCTCAAGAAATTGAACGCACACAAGCATACCAATGGTACCATACAGCTCGCACATGATACATGTATATATTTTCGTACAGAAAATGAATGTTATTAGCGGCCAATTGCTTTATGGCGGAATTTGAAACAAGGGTTAAGAATGAATGTACAATTTTTCCAAATATTTGGTTGAGATATGTCAACAGAAAGCCAACAAACACAGATATACATGTACATCATCGAAAATATTCAATCGAATAGTACTGGATACAAATTAAAAACTTTATTTGGTAACGCCAAAGACAAGTTTGAAAATTTGGATAAGTCTGTCATATATTCGGTTTTATGTTCGGATTGTGAAGAAAATTACACGGATCAATGTAACAGAGCGGTTTGTATTAGATACGGTGAACATTATAAACCTATACAATTTCGTGAAATTGGCAAATCAACAGCAGCCGATCATTTTATTAATAATGGACATAAATTAGCGGGTTTTAGACTCCTAAAACACGTACAAAACCAAAGATATTTGAATGCCACCGAAAACTTTAACATTTATAAGATAAGTGCAAACAGTATGAATATTCAAAATACACAGGTTCAATCAACTCTATTCGAACTAACAGCTGACTTGAAAACAGCTGATATTTTTTAAATGAAATCCTATTGCATGTATGACATCAAATATAAAATCACATGAAATATCCATGGCGAGCTATAATTGTAAAAGCGAGTATTTTCTTTATTTTTGCATTTTCAAACTTAGTAGACAATTGACATTGTTTTTTCAAAAAGTAAATCAGTTTCATTGTTAGCCTGTTACTCATCACGGTTGCTCGAAAACGTTTGCGTAATGCAAATAATTTCTAATAAAGCATAAATTTATTTACATCAGAATAAGTAGAAGATATACTTTCGTTTCATTTAATTATTTTTTTAAGAGTTAATTTCTTTGCACCACACCATCTTATTATTGCATTGCAATGAATCGAATTTGAACGAGATGATTAAATCATCACACACCTTGTAATTTTTTTATTTTTTAGTATTTATCATTGAAATAATAATGGTCCTTGGAGAATGTTAGTCTCCAGAAAGCATGGAATTCCGAATAATAATGGATAACTTTGAACAAGTTAATACTAAACTTGACGCAGTGCTGAAAAACCAAATAATTTTGAGCACCACTATAAAAGAGATGAAAAAACCCTAGAATTCATTCGAGCAAATATAAGGAACACCTTAATAAGCGTAAATATTTATTTATTTATTTAAATTTGATTTTATTAAAATAATTTTTTTTAGGTTATTGCCAGAACGAAGCAGCTCAGGCAAATTGTGGATCAGAAAGAAGGTAAACAGATCAAAGTAGAGTATTGATAGGATTATTTGATTGCTCTAAGGCTTTTTTGTTGAATTTCTCCAGAATTTAACAGTATTAATTAAATAATTTTTCGTTTGTATAGGACCTGCCCACCACGCTGAGCATTACGAATCACAACCTCACTTCGCTCCCCCAAACTATGCACCACAACAGCAATATCCACCTCAAGCAAGCTATAGCCAACAATTACGTCAGCCCTTCGACCAGTGACACCTGCTTATTCATTATAGTTTTCAAAGCCACCCCCCCCTCCCCTTCTGTCTGCCCAGCTATGATTGAGTCTTTTTCATTTCTTATCTTATAGCCAGCGCCAATGGAAATAAATCAGCTTTCTTGAAAAAAATTAAAATATTTGTGAAAAATAAAAATTACGTACGTAAAGTACATATTTTTTCTCATGCAAACGTTCATTTTTTATTTCTTTACCAGTACCAGTCTAGGATTAGAGAAAAAAAAATCAAATTTCACACACCACTTCAAAATGAACTTTATGGTATTGTTGAATTGTCCACACCAATCAATTTGAAATACAATGGAAATTGAGCAAGTAGTGGCGACTTATTTAATTTTGTTCATGCCGATCATTTGTATCACACATGATAAAAAATGACGGCAAATTAATTCACATGCGCGAGCCCGAAACACTTTGATATTTGGCTTGACCGCTCTGCATGTGTCAATGATTTCAAAACCAATATTTTCTCCTTCTCGATCGCAATCCATCCACACAATCAAGCCGTGACAACTTCGAATCTACAATTACATTTTTTTATTTGATTGATTTGTCACATTTCACACTAAATTGATTAAAACGAACGATGATATTCCAGCGTAACATCGAATAATATGAATGAAAACCAAATGAGTTTATTTTTTTTAAATAATATATATGTCTTTCTGTATTTCGTCTAAATGTTTTGCAATATAGCAAGATTAAATACAATTTGCCAAACAAACCACTGCTTCGATTAAGTTGTTTTTTTATTATTCTGTTTTTTTTTTATTATTTTATTTATTTAGAAAAATAGCTTCAAATAAAATGCAGGAATTTATCATAAAATATTACGACCTGAAGCAATTCGAGTACTTTAAGCTCTAATGTATTTTTTATTAATTTTTTTTAGTTCATTCGAAACATACACTGACTATAATTTCATGTTTTTCTTTGTTATAAAAAGTGTTTCGATTTTTTTTAAAAGAACGAATACTTACACTCTCATATTCGTTTTTTAAGAATTGATTATGTTATGTACTTTTAATTGACAGCAAATTTTAGAAATAGTTTCTTGTTGTTGTATTTTTTTGGTCAATCCATCCATTGGATTATATTTTCAATCAGTCAGATTGGTTATAAAGATTTGATTAATTTATACTAAATTTTTAACATTACATTGATATCACAAAGAGTCGAAAATTGAATTTAACAAAAATTAAACTTTCTTACTTGAATGCATTTCGTGACAACTCTGCGTCTCATCATCAGCATCACGACTGAAACGCTGGTGATGAGACGCAGAGTTGTCTCGAAATACATTCAAGTAAGAAAGTTTAATTTTTATTAAATTCAATTTTCGACTCTTTGTGATATCAATTTAATGTTAAAAATTTAGTATAAATTAATGTTACTGGATATCACGCCGTTCAACTAAAAACATTTTATTTAATAAAGATTTGATGTTGTACTCATTCCATTGTGTGGTCCCATTCGCATTTCATCAATAATTTCATTCTAAAAATCGGTTACCAATTTAAGTATTTTTAGTTTTGGATCTTTTTGTATAGAAAATTAGCACTATTGTTTAATTCGGTTCCTCTCTATTTTTTTTGCAAATACATTAATTTGAAACTTTTGTGGATTTTCAATCTAAAAAGTCTTAAAAAAATATCAGAGGGAGGAACAAGCCTAGTACCAGCTTATTTTCAGAATGGATTAGGCATTGACATTGTACTGAGATATTTTAAACCAGCTGAAATATCTTACTTGGTTAAGTTCAGCTGCTATTCGCATGAGACTGAGCGAAATGAAAGAGAGTAATATGTGGTTTATTCTAGCCCCCTCTAATTCCCAAATCTATAAAATTCAAATTACTTGAATATTTTCCGATTAAATCTCGATTTAGAACTCCCCTTTCATTTCGTTCAGTCTCTTCCGAATATCAGAAAAGCTCACTCCAAAAGAGACTTCAACAAGCCCACTTCATCTATTACTAGTACTCTCCGAAATTGCGTGTGAAATTTATTGTAACATTTGTAAAATGGTTTCATTTTTTCAAATGTGTTTTAGCAATTCTGGCTTTGTTGCTCAACTCGAATTATAGTATTTACAAAATTAACATTTATTGTATTTATATTTTAATTAATTTCACAGCCATATTTGATAATAAATGTTTTCTTTATCATCCGCGCCCACAAAACGTCTTGACTAATTCATTGTTATTATTGTTATCTTACACAATATTATGTCTTTTAAATCATGGCCCAAATACAAAAATGTTCATTTTTCTCACAAAATAAGTTCGTATTTGTAAATATATATATATAGATTTGTTTATAAAGTCTGTGTTGTTTTATGCTCTTGTTATTTTTCTTTTTGATTCCCTAATTAGTATTCTATTTAATTTGTATTTCAAATCATTGGGACTGTATTGATTTAAAAATTGTTTAACTATTTCGTTGAAACTGCATTTTGTAAAGGCCACATAATTCATTGGTTTGCACCTCCTTCAGTTAGAACAAGTCAAATTCGTGCAGTTTTAGGGCACCTGCATAATACACTCACGGATACAATGGTATCAAATGTTTTCGACTAATTTTGCCAGAATTGTAGTTAAATATTTTTACTGAAAATTTTCTTTCTTTTTCACAATGTAATAATACTTTTTTTTTTCACAACAAATAACATTTCAAAACAAAAAAAAATTCACAATTTTTAACTACAGATTTATACACGATTAAACTTTTAAATGTTGCGTCGTTGGGAGATATGCATTTTGGCAAGTTTTGGATTACATCTTCTATCTCTCTCTATCTCTTGCTCTCTCTTTTTATCTCTATTCGGATGAAAATGTGTCTCGTTGATGTGCTGCATTTCAAAATTTCCAATACTTTTGACTTTAGTTTGGGAAATGAGCGTTGTTCTGTGATATGTAACCAGATTACTGTTACTTATCCAATTGTTGAGATAATCTGTTGCTTCGGAGTATGCTCAACGGCTCTGAAAACGGTTGAAGTTGTGTTAAGTTTCATTTCACAAGGACAGTGATCACAATGAAAATCTTACCTGTATATAGACGATGCTGATGTTGAGCGTGACCATGTCACCAACAAGTCAGAGTTTACTTGTGTGTCTGTTCGACTTTGTAATACTTCTCGGTCAATGTCATCGGGCCAGAACATTGTACGTGTGACTTGTACCAAAAAACTGTGAAAAAATTTATAGAAAATTAAGTCTCGTGGTTTTTCTTTTCAATTCCATGAAATGCCATTAAAATCGTTTCTTACTTGGGAAGCACACCAATTACGACAGTCAAGAAAATTATAAGCCAATGAACTGGCGACTTCAAGCACATAAATATCACATAATACGTTGATGGTATGCCTAAACAAGTGACGCACAGCGAATTGTATGTCATCGCAAACGCATAATATGAAGCTAAACTGACAACTATCGATGCCACATGAAGTATTGTCTATAAAAATGATGAAATTAGATTAGATCGAAATTTTTATTATTATTTTTTTTTTTTAATTATCCTTACCCATGATCGAATTCCAATGGCACAGTGAACTAACATTGTGTACAAACACGATGTGGTCATTGTCGTTCCAAACTCCCAAATATCAACATCGGAACCAGCGTATGCTCCTTCGGCCACAAAGAAAATGACTAAACTTTGATACACCGCATCCAACATGACAAGCCAAAAAGATATTGGTTTATACGCTAGACCTAAGCGACTCTGTAATTTTTTGCTTCATTAGTATTTTACAATTATTTTGTTTCACCATTTACTTACATATTTGTACAGATATGGTTTTGAAAAGAGTAAATCTTCTGGTATTGTTTTATCATACACCCCAATCACAAGTGGTGGTAATGCCGTAAAGACTAGGTTAAACAACATCAAATACATTTGATCGATCATCACTTGTGCCGAAAAACCACAGTACATTTGATACCAAAATGCAAGAAAAACGAACGCCTATTTTGAATTAAAAAAAAAAACATAAAAATGTACTTTTTATGATGGTCACAGACTACTTGTGTCTTGATGGAATGACACTGCTGGAAACCATTCCGATTCGTATGCAACATTGCTCGCCCATTGATTTTGAATATATAACATACTCTCTGACAAAGAGTTTGAACTTTGAAGAGGAGTTGTTCGGTCGTGACCTTAACTTTTTGTTGAAATCAATGGTAGAGTGAGGCCGCATGTAAATTGAAAAAGCAGTCTCCTGCAGCGTTGTTACAACAAGGAAAACAATTCTCTAATGTAAATACAGCGATGTTGAACCCTGAACCTACCGCATTTTTGTAGAAGAAATACAAAATCATACGAGCCAAACGATCATATGACCAAAATCCGTGTATGAGTAAAAGTTTCTCCAAAAATTTAAATCTTGACATTGTAAAATCGGATGCCATGACAGCTTGCATGCCCTCGTGTCCCGAAATGCCAACGCCTACGTCAGCCATTTGAATCATTGAGACATCGTTTGCTCCATCTCCAATTGCCAATGTACTAATGTTCATCTCTTCCTTCACCACTTTCACAAGGTACGCTTTTTGCAGTGGAGTCGAACGGCAACACAATACGCAGGCACAATGTTGACACAACGTAAGAAATGGTCTAGTTAAATTCGATCTGTTGTTTTGAAAAATTAAATTAAAACGAATGAGTTTTGTTTCAATTACCATAAAAAATACAGTGATTTACCTTGGATCCAACAAATAGGTTAATGTCTTGCCATCGACGACAAGAGCCCGTTGTCTATTTGCCGGCCTTGAACTGGAGCTAATTTCTTGTTTTCCTATTTCATTTAAATAAAATCGAATGGAATTCTCGGCCGAATCTCTTGATCTTGCCATCAGCCTGAAATAGAAATTTCGTCAATAATTAAAACTAGAGCAAAACTAAAGCAACTCAATCAGAATGGTGTTTGATTAAAGAATCGAGTAATTTTCAACTTTTTGTATCTGGGCGTTGTTTGAATTGCAAATTTTTTTCTTTTTAAAATAGAAACAAAAATGACCCCAAAACATATGTTATGCCTTGTAATTACCTCAATAATTCCATGTTTGGTTGGAAAAGTTTTGCTGAATAAGCAATGTTAATGGCTGTTTCAGGTTTGTCACCGGTCAATACCCAAATCGCAATACCTGAATGCAAACATTATTATTCGAGAGTTTTTATTATGGTTTTTATCTTCTATTGAATTCAAAGTGCTTACCAGCTTTGCGAAGTGAGATAATTGTTTCTGGTACACCATCTTGCAATCGGTCCTCTATGCCAGTCGCACCAAGCAGTGTGAGATTTTTCTCAAGTAATAAAAATGATTCACGAATTCGTTTTTCACGATTGTGTTCCATGGATAGTTCAATTTCCTTGTGCTTTGCCGCCCATTCGGCAAATTCTTGTGTCTTCAAATGCCGCTTTGCCATTACTAAAACCCGAAGACCTTGTTTTGCATATAAATCCAAATGCTGTTGAGTTTTCTCTCTTAATTCGGCTTCGAATTGATCACTTTTGATGGGTGCCAGAGCTGGCATGACTGATGTATCGGCACCTTTTGTATATAGTATTATATCTTGTGTTCCCGTTTGTCGTACGACCACCGACATCGATTTTCGATTCGAATCAAATGGCAGTATTTTAAGTACTTCGAACTCAATTTGACCACGACCGACCGCATTCACCAATATATGACTTGGTGTACGACTTATCAAACACATGTCATAACTAAAAGCCGCATTCACTAGCGCCAATTCATCGGGACTTTCAGCTTTATAGAAAAAATGAAACAAGCAAATATTAAATCAATTTATTTGATTTGGAAAAGAAAAAAATGTCGAATAAAATCTACCTTCATAGATTGGGCGTCCATCTGAGATCGAAATTTCTGGTGTTGTTGCCGGTTTTCTAAGAAATAAATTACTATTCATATTAATATACATTATTAATTATATCAAAATTGTCACATTGTCAAAGTTTTAAGTGAAGCCACAACTTGTTTAGCTATCAAATGGCATAAATTAATGTCGACGGTGACACATAAAAATGGCATTCGTTCTACTTACCGCTTAGCAATCTTGTTATTCAAAATAGATGAGATTATTGATTTCGCTTTGGATCCACGCAAAAAATCATTGTTGCTCGCTTTGAATTTCATCGGTGGACTATCTGAAGTGGGCGTTGATTCGGTTGAACTATTTATCGGTGACAAAGATGGCACATGATTTTGTTTTACGCTCAGTGAATTCGGTGGTGACGTTAACGTACGAGATTCGGGTGAATTGATGGTTTTATCGTGCATTATTCTAAGGTTATATTGATCTGATGGTAAAAAGTGATAAACATTGGATTTTTTTCGTCCCATAACAGCTCTGTCAAAAAATTCGAAAAAACTTTAAAAAATACCTTTTGCAATTCCGTTGCTTCCATTATTTTGTCCTGATTTGGATTTACTTTTTGGCGTTTCAATCATACCTAAGGGAGATTCACAAAACGAAAATACAATTAATTTAAAATAATCAACAAATAACCGAAAAAGAATCAATAAGATATTTTTCAATCATACCACTTGCGTTCATATTATCGTGATGTGGCACAGCACTCACAATGACCGTATTACAAATGGATAAAACTAGGAAAAATTCTTGAATTCGTTGTGCTTGTTTTGTGTACGTATCACTAAAATATGCAGCAACCATGTCTTCTGTTAATTGTGGATTGATCATAATTGGTGGTGCTGGTGCGCCTGGTTTCATATAGGCTTTCTCCAATTCGGATGGTGTGTGATTATAATCGGCACCATTAACCGTGCATTTCCGAAAGAGCATTTTATTTTCGGTGAGCGTGCCCGTTTTATCCGAAAATATATGTTTTACTTGTCCCAATTCCTCTGTAATATTCATTGCCCGACATTCGGTGCGTTTATTTGTTTGAATATCATACAAATCCGAATTATTGTGTATGTGATAGACTTGTAGAATTTTGCACAGTTCAATGGTAACATATAATGACAAGGGGATCATAATTTGCAAAATGATGACATAAGTCCAAAATGTGAAGAACGCTTCACCGTTAGCATTCACTTCAAACGGCAAAAATAGAATGGATTTTCCAACGAACGGCGCTAACCATACTCGACAACCAATGGCACCAATAATACACATAACCAACAGAATTACAACGCACCTACGAAAAGAAATCAAATGAATAAAATTCGTATCCTCATCAAACGCTGCTGGCGCATTTTTGACACAAGCAATCACACATACCAAATCACATCGTAATTCATTTGTTGCTCCAGCTGAGATCGCTTGTAACGTGGCCCACTGTTATTCAGCATTGCTTTTGTTTCATGGCCCGCATACACAACGATTCCTTCGACAAAATCCGTATTCTGTAAAGTAAGGAATTAGTTGATTAGAAATGGATGTATGTGTGGAGGCGTCAAGATGTTATCAATATCAAGATTTAAATGCCATCTTACTTTAAGTCTACTCTCTCGTAACAGTAAATTTTCAGTGGATACTGGAACACGTTCACCAGTTGGATGTATCAATGCGCCATTAAATTTGAAAATTTTCGTTGTTGGCAAATCGACTTCAACACGACTAGTGAATTTACTCGGTGTAAATAATTGTTGTTTATCGATAAAACCACGCACAACTTCACGTAGTTTCAAATTTGTTTCACCATCCAAATCACAGGTATCTATGTAGCATACACCATGCGGATTGCTCGTTCGCAGCAATAGGATATCGGCAGGAACTGTTTCATTATTTGATAAATGCACGATGTCACCCACGCTTACATTTCGCCACATCACCTTTTTATACCGTTCGAACGCTCTGCAAAAGAATATATAAGCAAAGGCAATTTAGATATAACAAAATATGCTTAAAATCGAAAGTTAATATTCTAATTTGACCAAATCATGCAAACAAATTAAACCATAATATCCGTCAATCGATTTGAAATTGTTTTGTTGGTCTATCTATAAAATGCGGCACGTGTTTCTATCTTACAGACGAAAAGTCTCGATTAGATTTTAATCAGAGCATGTTCAACTGAAATCGCATTGACCGCATTGCATGGTAATTTTATTGTATGTACACAATATGAAGCACAGAAATTGCATACTTTACGATAATTACGGGATCGAACGCCAATAATTTTGTCCAATTGTTTAACTGTAATTTAGACGAAATGATTCGTGTGCGCTTTTAAACTCCTTTCTGCGTACAAAAAGGAATTCCTTACGAATATTCGATTGAACAAAAAACATCATGTTGCATGATTAAGGTTACGTTCAATGAAAGAATTGTTTACATCGTTGGGCGTCGAATGCATTCATAAAAAATGTAAATCAAGAACTTTTCTACAATTCTCAAGAATAGAGCCATCAACTTGAAGTAATACGAAAAGTGTTGGACTGCTGGTACAACAAACCACAAACGATTGTTTAAAATACAAACCACATTTTGAACTTCAGAATTTTAGTTCAACAGAGACACAATAATGTAAGAGATATCCATGTGTTAACCAATTTTTTAATATGTGAATCGGTTGGTAATCGGCACGAAACAAAATTTCATATGCTGAATATTAAGTGGTCTCATTTCAGTTTAAAACGACATTTTACCGCTTTCATATGATCCATCATTTCATTTATATATATATTTTTAAACGCAATATTCAAATTCATGAACCGGTAAATCAACGAACAACAGGAATTTTTGTAATGAGTTCAACGCTGAGTTCAACATTGTCTCGTTAGTTTTTAAAACAGCTGTTCATTGTATGTTCAACGATAATGTATTTAAAGATACGAGGACAATTTCACGCAAAGCATTTTACACGCAATCAATGTATCGTTTACAGCAATAGAATTTGCTTTAGAGGCGGCGATTGACTGGAAAATATTCCATTTCAAAATTAAATCAAAAAAGAAAATTTGTCTGATAAAAGAAGAGAAAAATTGTGAGAAAATCGTCTCAAACTGACTAAAAGTCATTAAATATCCAGAAGATAAGAACTCTATCTCAAACCGTATGGTTTTATGTGTGAAATGTTGTTGTACATTTTCATTAAATATTTTCGTAAACTTAAACGAAGCTATTGATTTTGTGTAAATTCAAAATAACCAAACATTTTGAGAATGTTAAATATTTTAAGCATTAATTACTCCGTCCGTCGCCTGATAGTATGTTATTATTTTGAAATTCTCATGCAAAGTTTTGTCGTTTGAAAATTGAAAGGCAATAATCTTGAGCTGCCTTGGTGTGCATAAATTATCATAATTCCGTAGTTAAAGCCGTACAACCAGCAACAAGGAATGCGTTGATATAATGTATTAAAATTTATTGAAATGCAAACACTTCAGGGGTGTACACCAATGAACTTAGTGGCCTGAATAAACTGCCAATATTTCTTGAAGGAAAAATGAAAGACTTAATATATTAAGTCACAAAATGAAACGTCTTTGGTGTGAAAAAGTTTACCATCTGTTTGCCACAATTAAAACGGACAATTTTCATTTTATTACATTTCTTTCTCTCTCTCCCTCTCTCTCTCTCTGTCTGTCGTTTAAATGAGTTTTGTTCATCGTTACTTGAACTAACAATATAACAAGCAATTGGAATATTTCATTAGAATCATAAAATTGCTTATATCACATACAGAAAATTTATCATGTTAACGACAAACCATACGAATATATTAACGGGTTGCGTCAAGAGAATTATAATCTTTTTTTCACCCATTTTGTGCGGTTTCTTCTTATTTATAATCAGTAACATTCTGTGTTATTTTTTTATGTTTCTTTCATAAAAATGAAACGCAGTAGTTACGCTGTTATTGCATAAGCATATTTTGAACCGGATTTAGGTATATAACATTTCATTTAGAACAAAATCATCAATAATAAATAAAAAACAATTTATGAAACGTGATCGATTTTTTTGAAATGCTTCAAAAATGCACGTTGTTATGCATTTTTAACCATACAAAAAAAAGTCCTGTAATTTACGGGACGTAGTGTTTGCATTTTTTATTCGATGGCCGGAAAAAAATTGATTTCATTCAGACCATTCTAGACCAATCATTTGAAATGTCTATGAGAAAACATTGTAACGAGAGATGTATAACGGAATTTCTAATTACCATTCTGGCGAAGAATAAAAATACACACAGACGGCAATTTACTCTAATTAAAACCGCAATGGGAAACACAATCGCGAAGAAAATCAATTTCGTTTGTCCTCTCAATATTGTATCAAATGGAATACGTTTGAGTGACACCATTGTGTCATTCATCTTTGATGTGGTGTTGTCACTGCGTAAACAATTTACTAGTCGATCGTTTGATATCTAGGTATGGTTGTGAAAATGATGGAAATATTGTCCAAATTAACACACGTCATATGTGTATTTGTTACTTGTCAGGCCTATTTCCACTTTAATAAATTGATATATGTCTTGTTGAACATATGCTTTTCATTCGTTTCACTCTCTCTATCTCTATGTCTCTGTATGTTTCATGGTCTATGTGGTCATTTGTTTCACGTAGATTTTTCGTTTTTTCGTTAATTGATAACGAATTGAAGGAATTCAGATCGTAAAATATTCATAGGACAAACACGGACGATGCGATGAAATTGTTGGTGCAATATAGTGCCATAACTCATTTTGCTATTTTGTTTTGCCTCTATTTTCCAAAATACGTTTTTTTTTCTATTGAAGAGAAACTGATTGCAATGCTTGTTGTTGAATTATTTATTCATGCCTCTGTGACATCACACATATGCTACCTACAAAATACATAAATGTATGTGTGTGAAACTGTACATGGGTGATTTGAGATTGTTGATACAACTATATCGTTGTAACCTTGACCATTTTAATATAAATGGATAAACAACAATATCCGCATATTACTACGGTGTGTGTACATGGACAGAATGTACCAATTGAAATCACCAATGGTTGCACTCGTCACACATTGACCACAAATAATTGAAATTTTCTTTTCGCTCGACTTGCCAAGCCACGGGTCATTACGTGCCATGATAATGACTTCGTAACAGAAGAATAAAATGCACATAGCCGTTCGGTGACTTGAATGATAGATGCGATAGAGAGGCAAGTTCAATAATTCTCAGTGGCTGTAAAGTCAATGTTAAAAACCTTTAACTGACACCGATAAACGTTTAGAAATTCTGTAAAAGAGCTATTTTATCGCATACCGCGGCTGTATTTAAGTAAAGTTGCCATTATCTTCAATGGGAACGTGATTCTTAAGTAAAAACAACATTTTACCGATAGGAAGAAGCATTTATTTGTTAAGATGATTCAACGTTAGAAATGTTGTCATCTCTCCCGTACCAGACAAGATTTATATGCAGAATTAATTAAAGTGCTGCTACTTTGACAAATTCCACATATATGGTATTATGCATGGTCTAACATTAAAAGCAAAGAAAAATAAATTAAGATTCACGCACCATTTCTAATTGGATTGTCTTAAAAGACTTTCGGTTCGTGGGAGTCATGCAAATATGTACAAGAGCGATATTCATGTTAAATGGAATCATTTGGTGAGATTATTATCCAAAAATAGAGTCAATTTAAAGCTAGACAATTTTATGCAAAACCAAATTTGATGAGGGTGCGACCGCGGTTTAAATTGATCAAATGTTGCCGTACTTCCAATTTAAACAATGGGAAATTGAATAAACCATTTAATTATTCGACATACAAAAATGTTATGGCTTTTTGCAGAGGTCAATTAAACGCATCTATTCCCAAAAATTCAATTTCATTTGCACCCACACACCTAATATCCAAGTAAATCGCTCATTTATCACGAAATTTGTGAAACAAACAGAAAAAAAACCACTTGAACCCAATTTCGATGTGATATATCTACGAAAAAAAAAGAAATCATTTATTCGATACAATAAAACAACAAAATTGGTGGTGGTTTCGTTTTATTAAACCATGCACGGCACACCAAATGAATGGCGTTATCGTGATTGACTATGTTAATTACCCTTGGCAAAAACCTTTATGAATTTCAGTGTAAAGTGTCAACAAAATAGAATCGTGTAATAATGCTCAAAGTCATGAATATCGTGCAGTTCGTCGCTCTTTATGTTGTATTGTTTTAATACTCTAATAGCAGAGTGTAGGTTTTTTTTCGTTTATTTTTCGCTCTCTTGACGATTGACACAAATTCGCACACAAAGTCATCGTATCTGAGTCATGTTTCATCATACACAATTCAATCGGTTGTTATTTGGATCACATGCAGATATAAATTGTTTCGATTCATGCGATACAAATAAATAAGCCCAACAAATGCAAATCGAACGCTCCTTACAAATGAGGGAAAATCAAGCATGGAGAGAGAGAGAGAATGAAAAGTGAAATTTCAGCGCTTGTGATATCATCGGGGGTGTATAGAAAATGAAAGCGTATGATAACAAGGAAATGTTCAATTCAAGTAGGTTCACACAACGCAATTCAAATGTAATCAAGCAATCGAAAATTGAGTTTTTGGCTTTTCGAAAAAAAGGTCGATAGAATCATAATTTTTTTTTCTCTCAGCAATTGATCGCATGCATTGTTGATATTGGACTTTGACCATGAACTAAAACTTCTAGCAAATTCTATTGGTTCGACCATTAATTTGTGACCATATGTGTGATTGCAAAGCACGCATTCGAATGGGCGCATTTTGTGGTATGCCAATAACAATTGATTTGTCGTTTTCTTTCCTTCTCCCGTGTGTTCCACGCTTTCATGCAATGTCAGATTGAAATCAAAAATCGAAATCACAAACATTTCA